CTCCTGCCACACTTTGATTCACGCTTCCCTCTGTAAATAACACGCATCAGCATGCCCTGTTGTGCTTCGTCACTGCACTTGTTGGTCCGGTTGTCCAACCACGCAGTCATCGTGTGTGCTTAGTGACGTCTTGTCACCTGGGCTGCCAATGTGGTAGCACTCATGCTCCCACTTGGATATACCCTCCACTGCCCTTCAATCGTTCCTGACCATGAGCAGCACTCAGCACAAGCACTGCACCCATAACGGTGCGCCTGCTCCGCTGCACTTGTCCGCTGCACACTAACGCCCCAACGCCCGAAGTCTTCCCTGCCGGGGCTCACAGTGGCAGGTGCTGCCTGCCTCCCCAGGTTGAGGCTCCCCTGGATGGCCATAGTCCCATCTCTCCTGGATAGTTCCGAATCCCCCATTCCATGATACTGGCTGCGTCAAGGTCCCGCGCAGATGCCCATCTGGCTGTGACGAGGTCCCCGCCTTGCTTTAGCAAGCTAGAAGCAGCCCAGTTCAGCCCCTGCTTCACCCAGGCCTGTCGCATGTGTGAGCAGAGCGTGCACAGCAAGTTGCAAGGTCCTGCATTTGCGCAGCTGATAAGGGAGCCGCAGCTGAGGTGTGCTCATCAGCGCGCCCACCTGCACTGTCCCGGCGAATAATCGGGTTTGCAGAGGCCCGGGCACCCTGAATGCAAGGGATGACACGCTGTGACGGCGCCAACAACTCAAGCGCGCACGTCACTGATCTGTGTGCAAGGGGCCCTTGGCATATCCGAAACGCCCAACGCAAAACCGTCGCCTTCAACCGGCGCCAGACAGGCTCGATGTGAAATCTCTATCGCCGCACCCTCCTGTTGCCTTCCACGAGAAGTGTCAGGAATGCCCACGCCCACATGACAACACCAAGGAAGCCAACGCCGCCGCCATCGCGGCCAGTGCATACTACCGCAGCAGCGCGCAACTTGGAGCACTTACAGTGCCCAGTTCATGCGCTCATGCGTGTGCATATCGCAGCACAGTCGGGCACCAACCCATGTTGACCCTAATAAACCACACTCGGTGTGGCGGCACAGGTAACAGGCTGTCACATGTTTCTGAAGGTATCCGCTGCCTCAATAAAATTGATAATGTTTACAGTTTAAGGGTGGCAAGCCATGTCCCAACCGACTGTGTCTACGATCGGTTGGGTGGCTGGATGGCCCATTGCGAGACCCCGCTGCGCGAGGCGGGGTCCCAGCGGCGCTTGCAGTTGCAAACAAGTTGACAGTGCGCCCATGACAGCTCAGGTTGCGCTCTGTGCCTATGGCGCTGCAGGTTGAACGCAGTCGTGTCGGGGGTGGAGGCTGTTGGCGCAAGGGGGGACTGCACAACAGGCTTCCATGTTCAACAGCAAGGCAAAGGCACTGCACGTCTCAAACAGCTTTCGCGCAAAACTGGAAGCCTGGTGCCGCAACTCAGCACCATGCAGATTGCCTCAGGGCGCTAGTGCAGCACGGCAGACCCATAAGAGAGCACAGGCGCGCCTTCGTGCACCGTCACGCCGCCAGCCGCTCCAGCATTTCGCTCTCCTCCTCAGTCAATGGCGGCGCAAAGCCCACGCCCTCCAGGCACTCAACAGCAAACTCCCTCAGCCGCTCCGCTGCGCCGCCGCCCGCGGTGCCGCCCGCCGCTGCTGCCGCACCCCCTAGCACGCCACCGCCCAGGCCGGCCCTTTTGGCCGCAACCCCCATCTTCCCTGCCGCCATGAGTCGCAGCACCGGTCTTGCAAATTGTTGGGAGTAGGGCGGCCCCGCACGCTCCAGCACGCGCATCACGAAATTGCGCACGAGTGAGGGGTCGGCGCGGCCTTCGCCCACGGCCCAGTCCTCTGCCGCGGCCAGCACCTCTGCAGGGAAGCCGCCCGCCAGCAGCTCTGCCAGCACCCCCAGGACGCGCTCCGCCAGCTCCTGCCGCCGCACACCCATAGCAGCCAGCGCGCCCCCTAGCGCCGCCGCGACGCCGGACGCGCGCGCAGGCACAGCTGCCGCGACGGCCTGCAGCAGTGCGACCAGCTGCGGGACGCTGGCCGCACAGCGATCATCCTCGTAGGTCGCTGGAACGCCAAGCAGCCCGCACGCAAAGTGCAGCAGCCCCAGCCCGGCCAACGGCAGGGCCCCAGCCGCTGCCGCCGCCGCCTGCAGATCCGCTTCCCCCAGCCGCTCCCCGGCCGCCGCACGGCTGGCAAACGCGCGCATCGCCTCGAGCCGCTCCTGCGCCAACACAGCCACCGCGCCGCTTTCGCCGCTGCCGGTTGCCGCGGCGTCACTGTCTGGGCTGGGTAAGGCGGCGCCTGCAGATGACGCGAGGGCGAGGAGGTGCGCGGCCGTGCGCTGCACTGGGCCCGCCGGCACCTGCTGCCAACTGAAGAGGCCTGGGGGCGCATCAGGGGTGGGGTGGGTGTCTGGGCATGTAGTTGGCTGGAGGATCGCAAGGGTTGGTGGTGCGGTCTGCTGGTGAGTGCGGGGCGACCCCGGCACGAGCGGGCACTTGGAATGGCTTGCAGTCCCTCCGTCAGTGTTGGGGGTACTGGCTGTTGGGTGTGCACTCTGCAGGGGGGGCAGCCGGCAAACAGGCCTGCCCCCCTTCACGTAGCATGGGCACAAAAGGTTGCTGACGCCGCTGCATTGCGGCAGCTCAAGGCCGCCACGTTAAAATACACTAAGGTCAGCCCCTGCCCGCGTCCCATGTCCGCCCGTCTGATTCAGTGCGCGCACCCTCCAGCAGCAGCCTGATGAACCTGGGGTGCCTGAGGGGCGCCAGGGGGGCGTCCGGGCCCGGACCCCTGGAGTAGAGCTCCTGCAGCTGAGTCAGCAGCTGAGACACCTGGAGGTGAGTGTGGTGTAGGTGTATTGAGGGGGGCGTGTGAGGACGATGACAAAGATGATCAAAGCTCAGGTCCTTTGGTAGCAATGCTGAAAAACTGCACACCTCATGCAGAAGGGAGCGTTCAGAGACACACACACAATACGCTGGATATGCAAAGCAACGATGGGGGCTCGGCGCGGCCCCCAGGTCTGCCCCAAACCCCAGCAAGGCCCCTGCGCACTCGCCTGTGTCAGCCCGCCGCCCCCGACGGCGCTGCCCCCTGCGCCCAGCACCAGTGCGCGCGCCACCAGCCGCGCCGCCTCCCGTTCTCCCGGCCCGGCAGAGCGTGGCACAAACAGCGGCCGCATTGCCCAGACCTGGAATGCAAGGGTGGGGGATGCCGTGATGAGTGGCAACCCAGTGGTTATGGTGTTGGAGGAGCTCGGCTGCAGCGCTCACAAGTGTGTATGTCGCCACAGGGGGCCACGTTGCCAGGCGCCCTTGGGAGAAAACACAAGGCGTCCGTTTGACTGCTCAGGCTGCAGGGTGACGGCAACGCGTGCGCCCTCGCTGCCCGCCCGCGCCCTTTCGCCCACCTTGGCCCCGCCGTGCCGCGCCGCCGCCGCCTCTTCCAACTCCTGGGACAGACGCATGAACACGCCACCGCCCCCACAGCCCCCATCGCCTCCCTGGCCCTCCGCCTGCTGCGTGGCCGCCAGCTGCGCCAGCAGCAGCTGCGCGTGCGTGTAGGTGTGCTGGCTGGAAGCGCAGGCCTCCGCCAGCTCAGCGGCCAAGCCAGCCAGCTGCGCGGTGGTGGTGGCGGTGGCGGCCGCCTCCAGGCGGCGCGACAGCAGGCGATGGTAGACCTTGAGTTGCGATTTGCGAAGAGCAAGCGGTGCAATGAGAGGGGGAGGGAAGACAGAGAGGCAGTGGGGGTCACGGCGGTGGTCCAAGGCTACTGAGTGGGCGGCATCGCAGTGGTCAGCGCAGACAGCCGTGAAAGCACGCCCCCGCCCAGGATGCGCTTCGTTGCACACTACTCTGAGCCAGCCACGACCCCAGCACACACAGACACAGACAAACACAGACGAGCACCCACCTCGAAGTATGACGAGAGAGATGATCCCACTGCCGCCACCTCGTCGTCGTGGCCCTGGGCCGGGGGTGTGGGGG